AAAAAAAAAAAAAAAAAAAAAAAAAAAAATTAGTCTAAACAGAAAGTAACAGGTAGTATCTTTAGAGCAAAGAACACAATGGCATTGTTTTTACCTTCTGTATAATTCTGTTGACAGTTATCTGTAAGGTGTTGCTTTTATCCATTTAATCCTGAAACCAAATCACACTGTTGGTCCAAGTCTCATTTCTGTTCACTATAAAATGCGTACGATAGATATTTCTGCCTTTGGCCTTACTTAGCTATTTACCTCAATTATTATATATCAGTTTTTTAAAAATGCCTCTTGGGTAGATGTATTTTCTCATTCTCAGCAAATTTTTCAAACAATATGATGTTCTATAGCATTTATAAGGTTGTTTTTCATCACCATTCATTTCATTTTTTTCATTCACTTGAATTTTCTAAAAACTTTTTTTTTAGTTTTTGCTTTTAAAAATTTAAGTTGAAATCTGATCGTGATTTTTGCCTTTATTTTCTTTGTATCCATCTATAGGATGAATATAAGCCAGAAAAGGCCTTGTCTGAAGAGGACTTGAAAAACGCTGTGAGTGTGCACCACGCATTGGCATCCAAGGCCACGGACTATGAGAAGAAACCAAACGTGTTTAAACTTAAAACTGCCGACTGGAGGGTCTTGCTTTTTCAAACTCAGTATGTTTTGTTGGTTTTTATTTGATTTTGTGTTTTAGTTCACTTAGCACTACTTTATACCAAGGAATAAAATCAAGCTCTGCATGGGAAATTATTTGAGTTGGAATCAAAGTCATGAACTGCTTTCATTAGCGAAGTAACTACCCAAGCTTATTAGAATTAAAAAAAAAAAAAAAATAGAAACCCAGGATTTACATTTTTGTCTGTTACAAAGTAGCCCTTTGACTTTTAGTCAGCCACTTACCATCTCTAGAATTCAGTGTCCTCATCAATAAAATATGAGGGTTTTAGTAGACAAGTTCTGTCGCAAAATGAGTAAAATAGACCCGGATAACACCATTTCTCTAGCTCTTTCTCCTACCACATAGTTTAACCTCTGAACCTCAGCTCGTCACTAGTGTAGGGGATAATGTTTATCTTACAGAGTTCTAGTGAGGAGTCCGTGAGATACGTGTGTATAATACCTCACACAGTGCTTGGCACATAGGAACTGTTCAATAAATGTAAATGTTTAATTTATTTTTTTGTTTCCCTTCTGAGCTCTAATAGTCCATGATTATACTAGAAGGAAAAGATGTCATTCTACTGTGAGCAAGGAAATGGGATGAATTGCCAGTTGTAGGAGGAAGTTGTAAGGAAACAAGTTGCCCCGGGTTTTTTAGTGTGGGAATGGGACGGTTAACATCACGCAGGGACCCATAGCTGGATGTATAATTGCAGCTATTAGGCATGAAGAAACTTTCAAATTATTCTATTCCCTGATTTCTTAAATCAAAAATACCAGATGTAATAACTAAGGAGATCTAATTACTTTGGACAGAATTGATGCAAAAAACAGTCCATTGAAATAATTGGAGCCAGAGAGATCAGCCTAGAGAGGGTGCCGTGAGGAGCTGACATTTAGCGTGGTCACAGGTTAGTTAGTGTGGTTTCTCTCAGAGTAACTGATGAAGGAAATGACTTTGGCTTTTTTTTTTTTTTTTGAGTTTTTATTTATTGATTATGTGTATGGTAGATAATCTGTCCTGATTCATGATCATTTCTACCATTCATTTATGAGTTTACAAATATTTATTAACTGCTGTGAATCTGGGCTTTCTGGATATAATGACACATAAATTAAAAATATCACATCAGATGATTTTCACCTCCTCTCAGGTGGGTTTTTTAAACAGTCTTATTGAGGTATGCTTTACATACCATAAAATATCACCAGTTTGAAACGTGCATTTCAATGATTTTTTGGCATATTTACAGAATGGCTCAGCCATCACCACAATCCAGTTTTGAAACATTTCCATCACTCCAAAGAGATCCCCATGTACATTTTGTAGTCACTTCCATTCTCACCTCCAGCCCCAGGTACCCACTAATCTACTTTCGGCCTCTATACTATTGCCTTTACTGGACAATTCATATAAACAGACTAATATGTGGTCTTTTGTGTCTGGCTTCTTTTATGTAACATAAAGCTTTGAAAATTTATCCATATTGTAGTGTGTGTCAGTTCTTTATTGCTAAATACTATTCGGTTGTTTGCATTTACCACATTTTGCTTATGCATTTACTGGACAGTTTGGATTGTTTCCCTTTTCTGACTCTTAGGAATGATGATGCTATAAACACTAACATACAAATCTTTGCGTATCTGTATGTTTTCTTTTGAGTTGGAGTCTTATTTTGCCACCCTAGCCTGGAGTGTAGTGGTGTGATCTCTGTTCACTGTAACCTCCACCTCCCAGGTACAAACGATTCTCCTGCCTCAGCCTCCCAGGTAGCTGGGACTTAAAGTGCCCACCACCATGCCCGGCTAATTTTTGTATTTTTAGTAGAGATGAACTTTCACTATGTTGGCCAGGCTGGTCTTGAACTCCTGACCTCAGGTTATCTGCCCACCTCGGCTTCGCAAAGTGCTGGGATTACAGGCATGAGGCACCACGTCCGACGTTTCTATATGTTTTTATTTCTCTTGGATAGCTACTTAGTAGTAGAATTGCTGGGTCATATGATAAATGCATAGTTAACTTTCGAAGAACCTGTCAAACTGTTTTCCAAAGTAGATAAATCCTTTTACCTTACGTCTACCAATACATTCCTCAGTTAGATTTTAAAATTAAACAGTACAATTAAAAGAGAGGAGTAAATTTTATAATTAATTTTTGGCCTAGCCTCATATCAAACAGAAAGTAAAAGTTTAATAAATATTTATTGTCAAGTGTTACTCGTTTTTCCCTTCTATTTCCTAGGGAGAGAATCACAGTCTTGCATTGTGATGATCATAGCTTCCACACCTCTATGGTGATCGCCTAATGACAATGTTCATCTCTAATGAAGTTTTGTCAGGGATTAGTTGTACCAGAAGGAGTAAATGATTTTCACATGCCATTGCAAATCAGTAACGTGAAATAGGCAAAGTGTGATGCACTTAGACATCGCAATATCCTAATATAAACGTATCTGTTTCTCATAGGAGCCAAGAAGAAATGCAAGGGTGGATAAACAAAATTAATTGTGTGGCAGCTGTATTTTCTGCACCACCATTTCCAGCAGCAATCGGCTCTCAGAAGAAGTTTAGCCGCCCGCTTTTGCCTGCCACTACAACAAAACTGTCTCAGGTAATCATCTTGATAGTGCTTTGACCTTGGGAAAAAGTACTTTGTAAAGTAATGTGATAAATATTTGTCTTTGGATAGTACTCCTTGTTTTGGGGGCAGGTGAGAGACCTTGCCCTGTGATAGCATATTGTATAAATGGGGCAGAAATGCAGTACGCTGGGTTTTACATTTCGTGTGAGAAGCTGATGTAATTGAGTCTCAGTTAGTAGGACATATACTTTGATTTCGTTTCTAAAGTTTGTATTGGTTCATTATTAGCCATGCTTGATGTTTTGTTTGTTTTAACTACCAGCTCATAATCTGGCTTGGTAACACGCTTTTCTTTCATTTATTAGCTCATTTTTATTGAGCATTTACCATATTCCAGGATGTGTTTAGTGCTGGGAATACAAAAATATTTTCAGGAATCCACAGTTCATAGTACAATGGGAAAGGGCCTGCCCTACCCCTCAGAGCGCAGCTGAATGGATCATTTGGATTTTCCAAGCTAATAAAGATAAAGTGTACCAGAACCCTGCTCCAAGTGTGTTTAGATAAGCCTCCTTCTGTTGTCAGATTAATCTTACTAAAAGCCATATTTTATCAAGTCCTTTTTCACTTAAAATTCTTCTAAGGATATTGCCTACAAGCCAGGTTTGCTGATTTTAAATCTGTCTGCACTACCCCCTTGCCATTGACTAGTTAAAGATTTTGGAAGCCACTTTTGATGCCTTTGTGAATTTCTCATTACATAGAGATGGTTTTATCTGACTATGATCGACCAAGTCTTGGTATTAACTAGCTCCCTACACATCTTTGATGTCATAAGATGTGTCCTATGGCAAGAGAGGGAGCGATTATCAATGATAATCCAGCGTGCTCTGGAGGTTCAAGGAAGGGACATTATCTAGCCTGGCCTTGAAGGTGAAGGAGGAAATGTGGTACCTCATGGGAAGCTTAAAGGATGAGAGGCAGTTAGGTGAGGTGTGGGATGAGATAGGAGAATGAGCCAGCAGAGGAACGAAGGCCTAGAGAAGAGAGCACTGGATGCAGGAACCACACACAAGTTTTTAACTGTGACATGAGCACAGTGTTGAGAATCAGCAAGAAATGTACCTCTGCAGAGGTCAGCAAAGGCCAAATCATGAAAGGCCTTGTTTGTCGTGTGTAGGATTTAGGATGCTTCAGTGGTTCCCAGCATCCTCAAAATAATAGCTTTAAGGCCGGGCACAGTGGCTCACGCCTGTAATCCCAGCACTTTGGGAGGCCGAGGTGGGCAGATCACCTGAGGTCAGGAGTTCGAGACCAGCTGGCCAGCATGGTGAAACCCTGTCTCTAGTAAAAATGCAAAAATTAGCCAGGCGTGGTGGTGGATGCCTGTAATCCCAGCTACTCAGGAGGCTGAGACAGGAGAACTGCTTGAACCCAGGAGGCGGAGGTTGTAGTGAGCCGAGATCACACCACTGTACTCCAGCCTGGGCAACAGAGCAAGACTCCGTCTCAAAATAATAATAATAACATTAAGCAGGAGAGTAATTTGATCACATTTTTGCTTTAAAAATTATTCTCATTACAACATGAGGAACTGTTAGAAGAAGACACTGGTATAAACAGAAAGGCCCTTTTTAAAGGAATTTTCAGTAATCCAGAGGAGATATAGCTAAGGTAGCTGTAGAAGAAATGGATAGTAGTGGAAATGCTTGAGAGACCTTGAAAGTATGGAATGGACGGTTCTGGTGGCTCATGGAAGTAGAGGAAACAGGCTGTCATTGTGGCTTGGACAGCTGGGGACTGTGGTGTCTGACTTCTGGAGCCTCACCTCGCTGTCTCTTGATTTCCCCTCTTGCTTCTTAGACTCCTTTCTTGGATCATTTTCTTCTTTCTCTTTCCAAATGCTGCAGTGACCAGAGCTCAGAAGCAGACTAAGGCCCTTGATAAGCAATTTTCCAAAAAGTTACTTAGATTTAATACAAACGGGGAGAATGTTGTGCCAAGAAAAGGGGGAAAAGGTCCAGTAAAATTTAGATTAAAAATATGTCATATTTAGTGGCTGGGAGGTCGTTGGGTGTCTTAGTCCATTTTGTGTTTCTATAAAGGAATACTAGAGCCTGGGTCATTTATAAAGAAGAGAAGTTTATTTGGCTTATGGTTCTGCAGGCTGTGCAAGAAACATAGCATCAGCATCTGCTTCTGGTAAGACTCTCAGGAAGCATCGAAAGGTGGTAGAAGGGGAAAGAGAAACAGATGTGTCACATGGCAAGAGAGAGAGGAAGGGAAAGTGCCAGGCTCTTTTTAACAACCCACTTTCACTTGAGCTGATAGAGCAAGAACTACCTTATTATCCTAAGGGTGGCATCAAGCCATTCATGAGGGAACTACCCCCATAACCCAAACACCTCTTACCAGGTCCCACCTCCAACACTGCGGATCAGATTTCAACATGAGATTCGGAGGGGACAAGCATCCATACTATATCATTGGATAACCTTAGCAAGACCAGTTTTGGTGGAGTCATGCGAACAGAAACCACATTGGCCTTCTTTGATGGGGGAATGAATGGAAGGTTAAAAGGAAGTGGAGGAGGGGAATGTGCTCAAGTCTTGCCATAAGTATAAAAAACAGAAATCTAGTGGTAAGAAGGAGGAATCTGTGGTTTCAGGAAAGATTCTATTGGTTTTTAATTCATAATTATCATTAAGATATATTGAATGCTTACATGTAAGCATTACTTTTACTGTACAGTTCATACAGGACACACTGGCGTTTAATTTTTAAGGATAATAAGTACACTACGACTTTAAGAGAAAGGGAATACTCTTATTGATGACCAGAAGATATGTCGGTGGACGTCTCCATCTATCCAACTAAAATATGAACTCTTAAAGCAAATGCATTTCTCTGCTTTAAATGTGGGTACTTAACATAAACAGCATACCACATAAAGCATATATCCTATAAAAGGTAAACCACATTACAGGACGTAAGGGGAGGGAAAAAATTGAGTAACTAGATGCAAAAGAATACCTTCCAAAATTGAGTTTTGCTCTATTAATTTTACAGTGGTTCTTTCGTAAAATCCCATTGTTCTTTTTCAGTAGATTGAGTCTTTCTCACATTCAGTTCTATAAAAGACCCAGGGGAGAAGGTGAGTTAAGGGCCGTTAATAAGCATGTCATTCGTGGAAGATGTATGTAGCTTAGAGCAATATATGAGTGTTTCCTTGATTTTCGCTCACTGTAAAATCTACAGTTCTGTTTACTTTATACTTTAAAAAATGTACTGCTTTCCTATTTATCTAGGGACTGTATACTAGTAAGTGATATGCACATGAAAATGAATGTGTTCATCTGTTGGCGTGTTTTTACCAGAACAGGCAAGCAAACACATTTATCAGGGTAAGCACTCTCATTTCAAACAGATGACTTACCCTGGAACCAAAAATAGAATGCATAATTTTTTAAAATGTCTTCCTTCATTTTGGACATAAATCCACAGAGATACCAAAAAATGCATATGTAGTATCATCAGAGTTATGGATTGAAGATTTTAAATAAGAAACTAATAACCAAAGAGAACTATCCTCCAGTATCGTGTAAGACAAGGTAACCGTATCATTTCAGGAATTTAACTTATTTGGAAAGAAATGAGACGATCCCCACCCCCCCCCCCCTCCCTCCCCCCACCCCACTGAATTACATCACCCAGCACTTGCTTTGTGGGCCTCAGTTTTCCATCCAGAAAAATGAGATGGTTCTAGAATGTTTTTAAGGATTTTTCTGTCAACAGCTCTGTATTATTTCTTTGCCAAGTCATAATGATTGTTTCTAAAGAGAACATTTTTACCTTTGAGAAACACATATGTAAAATGAAGCGTGTATTTGGAGTAGCCCCTGAGGCTCTTGGGGATATCTACGCTGGGGTCATAGTGCGCCTCCAGCAAATCCTGGAACATGTCTGGCTGCCCTTAGGCTTCCTCCAGTACCACAAAGACTAGCTCCCATCCTCTAACCCAGGCGTGTTCGACTGCAGCAGCATTAACGTTTTGGTGTGGATAATTCTTTGTCGTGGGGGGCTGCCCTATTAATTGTAGGATGTTTAGCCATGTCCCCAGCTTCCAGTCACTAGATACCAATAGGAACCCTCCAGTTCTAACAACCAAAAATGTCTCCAGACATTGCCAAATACCTTCTGGGGTCAAAATCCAACCCACTCCTGTTGAGAACCAATGCTTTAGCCAGTGGATCTGAAGCCATAAGACCAGCTACTTTTTTTCCCCCCATACCCCCACAACGTGGCTCTGACTCCCCTAAATGCCAGAACTTTTTGAGTAATTTTACTTTACAAAATACAGGTATAAAAACGTGAGTGCCTTGCTGGAAACGCTGATAAAGATAAGCTGTGTTGGGAAAAAATTAGACATTCAATTAAAAGATTGTTTGGTGCTTTTGCAAGACAGAGTGTCACTCTGTCATTTGTGGGCTTTGCTTTAATTTGTTCTCGTCTTTTATGCAAAACACATTAGCCTTAATCATTGAAATTGATTATCGCCAGTGCAGCGTGGTACTTTCTGAACAACTCTGCTGTGTAGGAGGAGTCCCTTCTTTGTTTTTCATGACAGTGTTGCCAGAGCACATTTTTCTTCTGTTGGGGGTGGAAAGACTAGCTTGAAAATACAAGTTTTGCGTCTTCTGGTGTAGCACTCCACACACACAACTGCTTGGCTGGCCTTGTTCACAGTCTGCTCACGACCTCCCTTTCTGTCCACCAGAGAAGTCATTTCAGACTTCAGTGTGCACAACAGCTGTGTGAGGACTTGCATAAAATGCACATTTCCCAGCCCCACCAGGTCATTCAGGTCCAGGCTGGGGCCCAGGGACACATGTGTGTTTCTCTTCCACTCCAGGCCGACAGGTGGCTCCACATCCCACTTAGACACTACACTGTAGGAACCTCTGCCTCCCCTAGGTCTTTCCTTGCTTCTTCAGAGAATGGCGCCGCAGGACGTCTTCATTTCCTGATAC